AAAAAAAAAAAGCAAAACCTAGTACTAGGCAAAACCGGCAATACACGCACGCACAAATTCAACAGTATCCCAATTTCAGCTCCCGCAATCCAAAGTTGCAAAAAACCTGCCGCACACATGCAAAAAATCACAATCTTGCCCCAAGCTTCGCATTCACATGCGAAAAAATTTTCGAAAATGTGAATTTTGAATGTAAAAGTAATTTTTTCGATCACTTAACTGAAAAGGGAATCACGCTATCTGCAAAGGTAGCAAAAACTGAAAAATATGCACTGCGCTAGGAACTATTAATTTTGTCTGAGTGGCAAAGCAGAAAGTCAAAGCTGTTAAATGTGGAGTCGCTAAAATGACGAAAAAGATGTCACGATTCAGGGGATTCGAGGATAATAAAGACAAGAGGTTTGATACCCTCGGCCTCAATCCTTTGCAAAGGGGCTCTATTCGCGATCCAGGAAGACTCCCCCACAAATCAATGTCAGCTGCACATTCAAAAGCACTTCGAGAAAACTCAATCTAACCTAACAGATTTCACAAAAAAAAAAAGACGAATTTTCAAATGCGTGCAACAAAAATTACAAAAACGCTGAAGACACGGCAAGCCAAGTGAGGCACCTCAAACAGCTTAGGAAACCGCACCATTTTTCGCTGAAATAATAAAATTCAAGACAATCAAGAAGAACTAACTTTTCACCGGCTTCAGCACGCTCCTCAGCGCGTTCCAGATCCGCTTCCACCATTGCTAGCTTACGAGCTACCTAAAAATTTTTGTACAGTGTGGTGAGCAAAAAACAATTATGGGTTGATTAATATTTAGTTTTGCACAGCAATAAAACAGACGAATAAGAAGACTGTGACATTTGAAACTGATAAGGCACATGATAACAATGATAAGAGAACAATCACACAAATCTATCTGCTTTCGTCAGTGACTACGTTCGGCACAATACTGTTACGGAAAAAGGATATATTGCGAAGCAAGAATGATGCAAAACTTGCGCTTCGAACCGCTAATCCTAACTGAGGGATGCTAAAAAAAATTGGAGAAATCCAAGCCTGATATGCTTTTTCCAGGATTCCAATTTAGCTAACACATAGTGAGGTAAAAGAAAATCACGGGATTTATCAATGTAAAGGTCGAAATACATTTTGCATACTCAAATCGCAGTAATGAAGTTCATTTTAGCAGCAAAAAAAAAATTTTTTTTGTATTTTGCTTCCACTATGACAGATGGAGGAAGTCGAAAGTTGCCGAACCAGTAATAGCATACTATCAACAGCAAACACCCGCTAGCAAGGCTGTCGATGGCCCTCTTTTTCCCTCTTTTCCAAACGCTATCCAAAAACGAAGTTATGGCGGATTTAATTCCCTTATTAAGCGCAGGTGCCAATTTCAAAAAAAAAAAATTTCACAAGAAATGTATATGCCAAGAAGTTCCTTCTTCCCTATGGCCAGGCATCTTTTTTTGGGGAGAGCGAGGGAATAAATGAAATGAATTATGCATTTCACGTTAGCTCAAATTTTAAATTTCCAAATTTGAAATAATGACGAAAGCAAATCTGCAAAAAGAGTTATCAGACTCCAAAGCATACGCGTAAAACAAGATTTGACACCTGTGGATATGCCTGAAACTATCGAAACAAATACATATCGTAAATAAAATCTGTGATACAATAAAATATCAGCGAGCAAAATGCATCTGGTTAGTTTAAGCAACTACAAAAATCAATCTTTTAGGATCGAGAAACTGAAAAAAGTCTAGTTTTTCGACATCCATACAAGTAAGTAGCTTTCAGAAACTGGACCAGATTTGTTGGGCGTAATGGTAATTTCCAGATGGAGAAACATGCTGCGCCGCAGTTTTCAACTGGAGGCTTGCAATCACGGCATTTCAACAGATTTCTAAATCCAAAGCCACAAAGTGTTATGCCAGTGGCAAAGACCTGTAGGAATGGAATACTGACAAAAGGAATTGCCTTTCTGCTGAATATTGAAAGCTCAGCTCGGTTTACAAGGCAACCAGCCCCTCTACGAGTCGTTCTTTCGTTTTGACAATAAATCTGTATTAACGCATACGAGGGAGCGAAAATCGTCATTACCTACTTTTAATCCGTTCTCGGAAGTATAAATGACAGCCTCGCAAAATAGATGGTTGCTACTGACACACAGTACCAATCGGAGAACTTCCGAGTGTCTGCGCCTCTTGCAGGAAAGAAGACAGGGCAAGTTTTGTTTTTTTTTTTTTAATTCAAAAAATAGACTATGAATTTTGCGTGGAGGTAGTATATTCGGTGCATCTTTGCGTATTTACTGCTGCTATAAATTGGTACCAATAGGCGGGATGAAAAGCGAAAAGCAGCCTGATCCCTAGAATGGATTTCTTGGAAAGGCGAGGAGTACAGTCACGGTCACGAGATATTTTCCTTAAAATTATGGCAATCCTAGTTACATTCTGTCGGACAGATTATAAAAAAAAAAGCTTTTGAATTACACAAATGAGCACTCGTAAGTCTATGGCACGTGATATGCTAAACATCAATTATGCGAGGTAAACGAGGAATTGGTGTTACTGATGCGCGAAAATTTCGCACAACTACGCTCTAATTAAGTAAACACAGAGAGAGGGAGAGTAAATAAATAAACAAAAGGCGCATGCTGCTGTAGTGGCAATCAAAGCAAACAACAGAACGGGGGAGTGTTGATGGGCACCTCGCGCGGTGAGTTAGCAAATGGTCACTTGGTGTCACCTCATCGTATTTGCGATCCGCTTCTTCGGCCAGCATTTGTGCCTCCTTGAGCTGCGACTCCACCGTGTTTGCACGCTCTTCATCTTGGAATGAACGATTTTCCATCACCTTGCGAACACTAAACCCCAAATACTAACATTTTTATGCATTCACCACTACTGTAAACTTTCTGGTTCCGAGATAAACCTCGTAATTTTGCTAAAAATTTTCATTTCTATCTAAAAAATTTAAAAAGTCGCTTTTTTAAAGTTTCACAAAATTCTTTTTTGAAGTTCCAAAAAAGCTTTTTTTCAAATTCAAATATTACTACAATTTTTCTAGTGATAATTCTCTTTTTTTCGTGTAATGCGTTTGAAACTACAACGCACTATGAAAATACAATAACTTTGATAAAATTGAAAATAAAACGAAAAACCAACCGCCAGAAGCCTGCAGTGAAAAGAGGAAAGAGGTGAAGAGCAATATCAGAAGCGAGGGACACTTCAAAAAATAGCCTTATCATTTTTGGCGCCTAGACTGGCCAAAGTGAATAAATTATAAAGCATGCATGAAAAGAGGGGAGGTCTAAAATGAAAACTTCAAAAAACCAATCACACATAAATATTACACATATTAATCATTATACTTGGGAACATGATAATTAACTTCGATGCATTCAAAATACACCAAGAATACCAAGACCGCCCGAACAAATGATGTGGGGACTACGTTTTAGAGGTGTTACTAAGATGCTTCCGCCCGTGAGGCACAGCTATGCCCAGTCTTTTAATCACCAAATATATATTATATAAGCAGAACACGCGTGAAATGTAACTCATCGAAAAAATAGTTTAGGTAACTTAGATACATAAAGAAACAGATCTTCAACTTGTTGACTTCAACTAGCTGGTATAACAGCCAATTTGGGCACCCGAGTGGGCGAAAAGTAATAATAGTGGCTTTAGATGGACGAGGAAGAGTGCCCTCAATTTTCGCAGTTCCCTTTCTGTCCCTCATTTTTGTAAAAACCAACCAGCTAATTGAAGTGTGGCTCAATTTCACTTTCAAAACAAAATTAACAAAATCCATTGCCAAAATAATATGCACGTTAGTGGAATGCGGCAAAATCACTACAAATCAATATGTGAGCAGAAATGAAAGATGATTAAGGGAAACCTCGTCAGATTTATTTTCTGTTTCAGCCAGAAGTGCTTGTGCTTCCCGTAATTTGTGCTCGAGCTCGCCGCAACGATCGTGGTCCACATCCACACGATTCTCCAGTGCTTTACGAGCGCTGAATGAGGAAAAAAACGCAGCTTTTTTTGTTAGAAATTTAAATATCACTGCAACTGATCACACTCCAGAATCAAAAAACCACTTATTAAGTCACACTAGTTATATTTCAAATGATTCTGATTGTAAAGGGGCACTGCAAAGGCAGGAACTTCTAACAAACTTTAATCGTGAATAGGTTTTCCTTAGTCTCCAAGCCAAGCACGGATTCTCATCATAAAAATTCACATAAATTTTAGATAATCTGCTTGGGTGTGCATGCAAAAAAACAAAAACATGCAACACAATATTAGTTAAATGCACATGCATTTCCCGCAAAATGAAGCACACACGCAACAACTGAGGACATAAAAACAACAACAACATGGCACGAATGGACCATCAAAACAAATAACACGGCGTAACACAGACAGCTGACAAGTAAACATTGCCAAAATTCAACAAATCTCGCAGCAAAATCTTAAGTAAACATTGACTTTCTAAAGATCTGAAGCAAAAATTAGGCCATAAATACACCGATTTCTCGTAAATTTCGCATCTGCTTCAGTGGTTTTCTTCCAAACAGCACCGAACCACATCCGTTGTAGGATAAAACAGTAAAAAAGACGCAAGTGTGTCACTGCGTAAAAAGCATAGCGCACGAAAAAACGGCGTAATTGGCAACAAAATCACAAAAAAAGCAAAAAAAAAAAAAAAATCATGTGCTTTTAGTGCGCCCTACTGCTAGTTCTAATAAAATGAATGGCAAGCGGTAATGACCACCTCTTCGTATTTCCGATCCGCTTCCTCGGCAATTACTTTTGCTTCGTCAACTTGCACCTC